AGTGGAAAGCTTCATTGGCCGCTATACTCCGGATTATTACGGCATACGGCAAGGCTTGTGTGCATCACCAGCCATAACCTCTGTGGTTATTCTGAACAATGTTAACTTTTCTTACGCTCGGATAAAGTACGAATAATAGTTAAAGCGTGGAAGATAAGGTCTGTGAAAAATGGGAACTGGGTGTCCACTCATCACTGAGCCTGAGATTCAACAGGCGCATGGTGAAGAATGTAGCCAGGTAAAAGAATTTTTCGTAGATGGCCAAGGTAGTGTGTGGAGGCGATTGAAAATCCTGGAAGTCAGGCTATCCAAGATGACAGGGACCACTCTGACACACGGTTAACTTTCGGGCCAGGTTGAATGAATATGAAATCTTGTAGAGCAAGATGATAATAATGTACGGAACAGGATATGGCTTCACATTCTACCAATCTGCCAATGTTTACATTAGCAGATGGCGAGCGTTCAAGTCTGACAAAAGTTAAGTGATGGTGAGTGCCAAGATGAGATGAAGTGGAGTGACAAAAACCTGGATCACATCTTTTGTTTCATCAGAGGAATACTTAACCAACTATCTGGAATGTTAAGATATGGAGTACAGAGGGGAACTTTTTTTCAAACCAAGACGAGGCAAAAAATGGAAATCAGATGATCAGTAACCGCTGCAGGGCAGTGAAACGAAGTGAACCGAAACCTTCTAAAGCTAGGCAACCCAAGTATGGCAAATAAAACATTGAACATAGAAAAATGTACAATTAGAAGGACAGGTAGGCAGGGTCAAAAGTTAATGTACAAGGTGAGATCTATGCCGAGCAGAATTTTGAATGCGGTAGATGTGAGGCTTGACCATGAAAGTTCTTTTGGGGCCACTCTCATAAATATCGTCTAGAGTTGTAGATTCGCCCAGTATACGTAATACCTCATTTACGTTGAGGTGGTTGAATACTTGAGCCCGACATATATGCTTAGTAGTGTTGCATCTAATGGATTCCGGCAGCTTATTCCATAACGTTGTTTACCTTATGAGAAAGAATTTGGCGCGCAACGTTGTGAACACACTAGGGCCGCAAAAGCTGGCTGTTGTATTTCTAGTTGGATATTGATGGAAAGTGGCAAACTGGACAGTACCTGGCTCCGCAGACCAGGTATGCGCTAAATATAACAAGAAGATAAGATTAGTCTTAATTCTTAACCATAATGTTTCTAGCTTCAGCAGTTTACACCGTTGATAATTCACGGATCCAGACCCTAGTAACCGTTTGGTAAAGGAACGTTGTACTTCTTCAAGATTGGTTTTGTCGTACATTTTTAAATTTGTGTATACTAGTGGACAATACTCTAAGACTGGACGCGCATATGCTTTCTACATAGTCGCCTTTCCGGAACGCTGTTGCAGGACCCCAACGATGTGCTTACGCTGACATTCTCTACTAACCATGAAGCCACGTTTTACTTGTGTCTTTCTGCACACCCAGAAACAGCCTCAGTGAGTTGGGCTGGTGTAGGGAAAACACTAAGTGGCATGGCCGAGGTCGCACTGATGGGCTGTTTCCAGATTAATAGCTAGCTGTGTGCAGTTCGGCTGCAGGTTTATGACGAAGCAATGGGACTCGGGTGAAAGATCCAACTTGTCTGTGATCTCAGTGTGCACTCAAACTGACTGCAGTAGGGGCTCGCTCAAGGACGACTTTTATCGAGAGCGTCATCAGTACTTGAGAAAGGCTGACAAATCGGATATCGTTGTCATGGATGGGGGTTTCAAGGCACAGTTTAGCCGCCTATTGCCTTGGTGTTCACCAAGCGTTCAATGAGGACCTCTCGGATAACCGAGTGATACTCTCCACATTTTGCGATGACGCCATCTGTATCTCTCGAGCATCAACTTCAGACATACTGAGAAACATTCCGCAATCTGGCATTCCTCTTCGCCAACGGAAGCTTGGTGTCAAATTGATCACGTTTCCGTCAGTGTTCATTTTGGTTCAGTTCAATTGATTCAGATTATGCGCATGTGTTTTTGGGGGTCCCCCAAAACGAAACACCAGAAGCTTGATGCTAACAGATTTGCTCATTACTCGTTCCAGGTGAGTTACCAGTCTCTACTTGTAGACACACTCAGTTTCAATCATCTGCAAGACAATGAGGAACACTGAGCTTGTATACAGAAGGCAATGTTCACTTCCGGACAGTCAAACTGCGTCCTATCTCGACCCCTCTTAGAGGCTTGGTTCTCTGCTATCTCTCTGGAGCTGATCTGCCGTCGCAGAGTTATCTCGACTAAATGGGATTAAAAAGAGCGACGCCGATCTGCATGCTGACTGCTCAAGCAATGCATATGCAAGCATCATGAGGCTTTGTGATCCGAGCGTGCTTTGGAGCTGGAGATTACTGCCCTCCCCTGGCAGCACTTTCAAACTTTTCCAAATCATTCGGTCTACTGGCCTCAGCAAGCCGTGTGTCAATGACGTTATTTGCGAGGCAGATTGGTTACCGATCGCCAACCAACAGAGGCTTTTATACCGCCGAGTCTAGCACATACATTCACTATTCAACTGACCTATACGATCCATCCGTGCGCACAGTACACCCAGTTACTTACTATGCTGGCCCCACTAAGTGCACTCAACGAAGCGAAAGTCTACCTGGAAATTTGGCGCTTGTAGTGATACAAGGCTGTGGGCTTAGATAGACTTCCTCCAGAGCTGTTCGGGTACGCCGGCATGGCAATCATTAACCATCTGATCTCGTTGTTCTCTAAGATCTGGCATGAAAAATAAGTGACTTCTTCTCGAGGCGAATCAGCTATTGTCTCGATTTCCCAGAAAGCTGCTCGCACTTCAGGTACTCCTGTTGCTTCTAAGCTACTAGCATCCATTCTGCTTTGCAGTCCGTGCCCCTTTACGTGAATCATACTACTGTGAAAGACCACCTGGTTTCTGTCTCGGCTGTGTATGCGTGTACCCTATCTTCACTCTCTGCCAGCTCCTCGTACAGCGCCACCTTTACCACAGGCCTATTATCGTCTAATTTCGACGATCGACCTGCTTTATGGTCTTACTTCCTAGTGAACTGGGTGCCAGAATAGTTTGCTGCCATTCTACGTGCACTTTACCTTCATATCTCCGGCAGAGTGAAGGTCTACGATAAACAGTTCGCTGTCAATAGCGACAGGCTGTCCTATTCTCGCTTTCACTTCAACTTTGCACTCGGAGACGTCTTGTTAAGAGATCTAGATGGTTTTCAAAATTTTGTCCTGGAGCTTCTACCGGGCTAATCTGCGACCGACTTAGAACATGCTGCTGATATCGCCTTGCTTGTTGATGACGTTCCGCAGAAAATGCAACTCATCCTGAATACTTTGCGATTAAAACATTTATGAATGTCATGAGCTACGCCCCTTTGAATTTTAAAATGCTGCTCCAAGGTTTGACCTCACTTGCTCCTGTGTTCCCTTTCGAAGAGGCACAGTTTGAATAGTTAGATAATTTCATCTAATTTAGGAGCTGTCTTTCTGCTAGTGGCTCTATCAGCAATGAAGTTTCTCTTCGCATCGCGAAAGTTGGGTTAGCATATGTCAATCTTAAAAATTTATGACACTTTTACGATATCTCTTTGTTTAGGTTTTTAACTGAAAACGAGTCCTGGCCAATTCGCCTGGAGGACATTTCATCTTTCTGCCTTCGACAACGATCGTTTGAGGAGGCTGCTCGTGTTTGATGGCAGCGCCGAGTTCACAGTAACGACGTTAGACGTCACGTCCTGAAAAATGCGAGCTGGTTTCGCTGCGCCAGTTAAAGTAGTTTGGCCACGACCTACGTATGGCGCGTGAGCGTTTGCGGCACTGTGCTCTATTCATTCATGCAGTCGACCGCGTGGTTGTCAGCCTTCCACATGGCGACTGCACTTGAAATCGCTAACATTGCCGCGGTTGGACCTGTACTTCCTATTGGATCATCGTCATCATCATTACACGTTAGCCGAAGATGAGAAACACTTCAGCTAATGTGCCGCAATAGAAAGAGATAAAATAAAACAAGCGGGATACAAAACATTGCAAAATACAATTGAACAATAACAACGACTTATACGTGCTTAGTGTCACATTACGTATCTTATGTGAGAACTTGGCTGGCGGAGGAAGATAAGCGGAATTGAGAAGGACAAAGAAACTCACAACATAAACGCCATTGGGAGCGACACTTCGCTATGTCAACAAGTGTATCCAACCGAACGTGTTCATCATCCTTCGGACCCCAGCCAGGCAGTCGAGAGACATCAACTGACGCCAAGTTCGAAGTGAGGATCTTCATATCTCTCGACCAACTCATGGCTTGGTGTCCTCGCCTCTTCTAATATTTATACCCTAGCTGCGCCAACGACGCACGTCTCGGGTGTCGTTTGCTGGCATTCGCAACACGTGTCCCATCCATCGGAGTCTGTTATGTGACATAATCGTGCCCAGCAGTTCACTCGCTCTTCTTGCACCGAATCCACCACACCGAACTGGCTCATTGCTCACGCGGTGTCTCACTCGACCACCAGCCAGCTAGCTCCTTTTATTGTCTTGGGCACAAGCTGCTTCGAGCTCACTTTGTCTTCAAAAGCTATTTTTATCGGTCGTTTACCGGTTATCTGCCAGATCTGCTGTCCCACGATATGATCACTCATTTTGAATCTCGATCTTAACATCTACGGACGTAGATTAATCATGCATTATCATGCTGACCCCATCACGTAACCTTTGTTGTGAGTCAGTCTTCGTTTTCTAAACACCTTTATAATGTCGGTTCTCAGTTCTCGTTTGTATGAGGTTACATTCGGCCAACCACTTTAACGATTTGCTCTCATACCGATTTACTGTTTCCTTACTCATTCAAACGGTTTCAAATAGTCCAGTTGTTGTTTGCAGTCTTACTGTTCTCGCATGGCCCATGATCAGCTGCTTTTCTGAAAACGAGGACGCGTTTCATCTGACCTTCTTATTTTATATTTATCCATAGGTCTGTTTCGCTTAGACGGTTCATTGGATGTGTCTTATCATACTGCATCTAAATACGATGGCGTCTGCCAGATTTTGAATTTGCCACATATCTACCTCACGTAAGTCATCAGCTCCGTTTGCATTCTGATGTTACGTACCCGCATATTCCATTTACACCGTAATTCTCGTTTTGCAGGGATTATATGTAAATTGCCAATTTTATTTTTGTTCTGTTGCACGAAAAACACACCTATTTATAAAGCCTGGTTACATAGACAGATTTCTGACTCAAATACTGCAGTAAAACAAAATAACGCCACTAACTCGGAGTAGAATCATCTTGTGGTTACGAACTTTTCACGGCAGTTATAGCTACAATTATAACATGTTTATTCTCTCAGTGTGATAGTACACACACATTATGATATCGAATGCTCTTTTTCCTTTGATTTTTTGCATTAAATTTATTTAGCATTACGAGAAAGAAAAACCGTCAGCCGTACGCCGTAACGGCCCTTCGCTGCCGCACGACCACCACCGCTCTCGCGTGTGCTGAGTATACCGCGAGGACGCCCGCCCCTACGCGAATTCAAACCAGTGACCTTACGATTGCAAGCTAGGCGTGCAGACCACTCGGTCACCAGCCGAGAGAAGTTGACGTCCATCACGCTAACAGGACTTAGGTTCAGATTGCAATGCGAATGTGTGTATGTCATATAAACAGCAATTAACGAAATCATTCAGTCCACACAGTACAACTTGGTACGAGTGAGATTGCAGACCATCTTGTTGCTGTCCAAATTTGCTAATTCTTACGAAATGACCGTTTTCATTGCTAAGGTGATTGCGTCATTTGCTGCATGAACATCTTAGGTGCTCCACAATGTGTTGACGAGCAGCTCTCATCTATCGATGAGTCTAGTTGAGTAACATTATCCTTAGATCATAGTGGAAAGTTGGTTCGTTGTGTCTACCGCCTAACTCTTGCGCCGTTGGAAATGGATTGCTTCTAAATGTGATGAGGCATGCCACGGCTTTTCCTATTCGCTTTAATTTAATTGGATGGGGTTTCAGCTTCAAACCTTTCATCCGTTTTACACAAAGGACCTGAACGCATGCTTAACTCTTGACTTGTCTGTGTGATGGAAGCCGTACGCATCATATAACATCTACACGGTTGAATAATATCCTAGACATCATATTCACTGCTGCTCCAATAGATGCTGCTATCTACGTAAAAGGCTGTCTACACGGTAGTGACCATAATGTTGTCAGTTAGAAAAGGAACATTTCATATACCCCTAAAGACCTGTTAAAACACTTGTACAGTTTTGATAGAATAGACTGACGAAGATTTGCTGCGTTGCTGTCTTGTAATCTGTGTCCTTTCAAGCACCAGCCTAACCTGCACTCGAAATATGTCGGATTTCCAGAAAAACAACACAAACGAAAAGAGACGTTCTGTTGAACGCGGTGAGGTTAGCTAGTCAAATCAGCTAGTAAAGCTAATCCGTTTGCTTTTACTTGGGCCATTGCCGTGCATACTCACCTACTGGAAAGAATTTCGATGTTTATCAGACTGAGGAGGTCACTTACTTGGTGAATGGAAATGGTCGAAATTCTCACTTGTGTTCAGCAACGACACCAAGTGTGCACGCTGTTGTTTTAGTAGCCGGAAAACCGATTTACAGTGCGCAATGAACTATGGTCCGCGGATAAGCTGCGATTACGCTATGGAAATTCCCCCAAATTCCCGGTTTTATGTGGTAAGTAGCAAGTTGTTACCGGAACGAGTGGGGATAACACATTCGGAAAACACGATAACAGGTGAGATAAGCCTGATCCGCAGCGTGTCCGATCATAATGGATATCGGTACTGTTATGCTGCTCGCGACGCCACTGTTGTAACGCTGCCCTTTTGCCTCTGCCTCTCTGCGTTACCAACCAGCCGGGGAAAACAAAACGCTGAGCCTGCTAGACCGAAGTATATTAGGCACAGAACATGGCTACTTTTATAGGTCACATGCGCTTACCTCGCTGAGGTGACTCACATCTGTTGTCTGAACAGATTCGACTCTGGCAGCCGCCATCACCGTCTGACTGTAGGTAGGACCACGTCCGCGACATAGCAACCCGTGCGGCGATGACGGTCTGATTTCGTCAGCTTCCGGTTTGACCATGACAACCAGTCTGTCAGCCGCTCAAGTGATCTGGCCGATCTCGCCCCGCTCGTGTGCACCGTCGTAGTCAGCTGTTTCGCCTCCGTGACACCTCCTCCTCCGAATTGAAACTGCTTCCTCACCATGCGTACTTGCGTCAGTTCAGCTTTCTTTGTTTTGACATCAATCATTTGTCCTGGTGGTTTTCTTCTCCTTCTGGCCGCTCTTCGATATATGTTGTCTGCGGGCCCTTCTGTTTTTCCGTGGTTCGGTCGCTGATCTGCGTGCCTGATCCATTTCTTGTTTCTAACCGTTTGTTCGTAATTGACTCCACCATTTCTGCGTATCACCCTTCCACTTGACCACCACTTCGGTCCTCGGAACTCTCGCGCGTACCCCCTGTCACCAATTCTGAAACGACGCATCCTGTCTGTCCGGTTTTTCCCCTCATAACAATTGCAATGCTTTTCCTTCCTGTTTGGCACAAGGAGTTTTGCTCTGGATACTGGTTTAGTGGCTGACTTGAGATCCAGGGCAGCACTGGTTATTCTGCAGCATTCTGGACCAGGTTGAAGCATTGCTTCGTGGCGTCTATGCACCTGTGTAATCTGACTGCCATTGATTTCTGTAGTCGCACCCTTAATTCTGATGGGCACATCTGATTCGGAAGTGGCAGTGTGGCAGAAGTTTCGCTCCTCCATAGCTTCTGAATTTGCGACCACATTTGCAGCAGGAGTCAATCTGAGCAACTTCTGGCATTCTGAAAGAATTTCTTGTGATGTCAGCTTCACTTCCAATTCCCATTCTACATGAAAGTTTAATTTTTGTGATAGCACTGACATCAACTGCCTCTGTGACTTTTCGAACCGCGTCTGCTGCTCCTGCAAAAGTGCCTGCAATTGTTCAAAGCTGACTGCCATTCTGGGTTCGATTGAACTCACGTCGCCACTGTTGTAACGCTGCCCTTTTGCCTCTGCCTCACTGCGTTACCAACCAGTCGGGGAAAACAAAACGCTGAGCCTGCTAGACCGAAGTATATTAGGCACAGAACATGGCTACTTTTATAGGTCACATGCGCTTACCTCGCTGAGGTGACTCACATCTGTTGTCTGAACAGATTCGACTCTGGCAGCCGCCATCACCGTCTGACTGTAGGTAGGACCACGTCCGCGACATAGCAACCCGTGCGGCGATGACGGTCTGATTTCGTCAGCTTCCGGTTTGACCATGACAACCAGTCTGTCAGCCGCTCAAGTGATCTGGCCGATCTCGCCCCGCTCGTGTGCACCGTCGTAGTCAGCTGTTTCGCCTCCGTGACAGGTACAAACATATCAGAAGGCACATGGAAATGGGAGCGTCTTTGGTCAAGTCTGCTTCGGCAGAACAGCGGTAAATATCTTCACTTTTAAGAGCGATGAGATAGCGTATCTAACCACCTGATAGCCTGCTAATGTCACTGCGACAGCATAGGTTATCGCCACGCGACTCCATAAAAAAGATTTTGCGCCTACTTTAAACACCAACCTTAACCATGTGCCGCTTTATCTAGCGATGACGATCATATTGTCTTCCATAATCAAATAGTTTTATAGGGTAAACAGCTCGTTACATCGATTATTAACAAGTGCAACTAGTGTGTCCAGGTTAGATTAAGCTTGATGAAGAACCGCAAAAATAGTGTAATTGCCAACCAAACGCTTGATTACGAAGACAGCAGAGTTGCACAGAATACTACCAGTTATACAGCGGTGATGAAGACACAGTTTCGACGCTGACTTTTCATATTCCTTCTATCACCAGCTCAAACTACAGGGCGTTTCAATCGAATTCACTAATCGAGGGTCAGAGTTTCAGTCTCCTTACATCGCCGTTTATTTCGTCAATGCACTTCCGAGAGACGCTTTCCCGAATCTCATGCGCCTAATCACCATAATAGTTGCGCGCAACCTCAAAGTTTTACCCTTGTTCGACAGCACGCCTTAAGGGCTCACAATCAGCCCTAAGTAAGTACAACTGGACATTGCGTGCGGTAACTGCAACTCAATTTTACAACCACTAGGATCCCGTTTAAAAAAGCACCGCAAACCCAACGTTCGCGTGTGATGACCGGTCGTGCATGTGCGCGTGTCTAAGCAGTTGTTACTATAAGCGCTGCCGCATAATGCAGCGCTTCTCAATGGTCCGAACTATAACGACTAACGCCACAATTGGACTTGTCGTTGGAGCAGCTGATCGGCTAATCAGCACTCAGTAACGTGAAGTACAACATCACGAGCGGCGGGGAGCTCAAACGGTGCTCAGCGGAAAGCGATGTTGGCGCTTGATGGTTGCTTCACAATACGAAGAGTTGTGTCATCACATCTCGTAAACGTGTCAAGGTAATTGGAGGGGATTTCAAATTACTGAATCTTTCATTGGGACCTGAAAACATACTTAACTCTTGAATTGTCTGTGTGATGGAGGCCGGGCACATCATGCAACATTTACACGGTTGAATAGCACCATAGACCTCATATTCATCGCTGGACCAATAAATGCTATTATCTACCTAAAAACTATCTACACTGAAGTGACCATAACGTAGACAGTTACAAAAGGATCATTTCATATGCGCATCAAAACCCGTTGAAATACCCGTGCAGTTTTGGTAAAAATAGAGAAGATTTGCTTGTCTGGTGCAAAATTCTGACTAGAACGATTCCTTCCTGTTTTCTAATCCAAGTCCTTCCGAGCACTTTACTCTGTAGGTATACCTTACGGTCACCACAACTGGCCAATTGTAGCGCATGTTTCGCTTGGACATACTCAAGTGAGACCAGGTATTGATGAAGCAACATTTTCGTTTCTCTTTTTCCTGATTTTTCTGCAGGTCTTGTAATATAGGGACTTCCGACTATGGGAAAATTTGGTATTACAAATTATGCTCTCGGCCTATCTCTGGACGGGCTTATATTCGGTTAGATACGCTATTTGATTTTGGTAGTTCGTAATGGAGACAGTTCTCAGTTTAACGGTTTGCCATTGAAATGTCATCTTGTCTGCTCACACACTATTTAAACTTATTGTTATATAACCATTTTACCTATGTTTCGAACCGAATTGTTCCATGTGCCGGTTATTTCTATGTTTTTTTCACGAAGGCGGTTTACTTGTTGATGAAATAGAAAGAAAAAAAGTAAGTGTTAAGTTGGTGTTGATACTTCAGTTGTCGACTTTGGCAGCGCTTCAATGTTCCTCTGGTGCGCGGTTGGGGTTGCGTCCAATTGACCGAGGAACACAGAGCAGCCGATTTTTATGGCATGAATCAAAGCGGGCTCAGCGGGTATGGAATAATTTTTCCATAACGCTCCTCCGACTTACGTTTACTTTATGGTAGTTACATAGTAAATATGCTAACTGCGGCTGAGTGTTGATTAAGCAATTTCAACTACAGTCTGTTCTAGCGAAATTGCCTTTTTTTCAACGTGTCGTTTTATGTGTGTGTGTACACTTTGTTCTTCAATTTGCAACATTGTGTTTACCATCACGTAGAAAATAGTATGTCGATTTCTTCGGCATTGTGATCATAGATGTTGCTTTCCTTTTATGTCCCTCAAATTTAGGCAACGTGGGCATTAAGCTGCTTTCCGATAGCTTTTGCTTTCTCCTTGAAGTGATTATTATTTTTTTTATCACCGTCATTAATTTTGCGCGGTATAGGATTTGCAGGGACTTTCCTTATCATATTTTGAAAGGATACATTTTGGAGTGCGCAAGGTTACGGCCGTAGCACTTCTCCAAATTTTCCACAGCAATGTTAGACACCTGCTTGGAGTTCGATTTTCTTAGACGTATGAGGTGCTTTTGAGTCGCCTAACTGGCGATTTTGAACAAAAGCTCATATTCTGTTTTATTTTCCCCTCCGTTGCTGCTCAAAAGCATGCAGTTAGTAGCTGCCCGTGTTACCATATACCCATGGTTCCGTTACTGCTGAAGCAGCAATCTTCGTTCAGTCAGTTTTGACCATTTCTGTGACAACTTAGAATTATGATCTCATTTCGACTGTTCCTTACATGAGATATCATACCCGTTTGAAGTGCATGTTTTAACTACCCTTGAGATCCGTTTCTGCCATTAGAATCTTTCGGTCCACATGATCGGCTAGCTGTTTTTGCTAGCAGATTTCTATTCTTTTTGTAACGTCTACTGTTTGATTGTTGTGTTTCTGTTCATTGTGCAGTGTTCCTTTTTTCCCTATTCTGCTCCACCTCCCGATCTTATTAATAGACCTCAGTGAAGTTCCCCAGAAATTTCCCTGATTGTGCTACTCCATCTATCTCTTAAACGTCTACCAACAAACTATACTTATAACCGCATCTTGATCCGAAAAAAGCACAAATCCCCATGGCATCGTTTTGCGAGCATCCATTGTTCGCGTGCACCATGATAAAATTCTTACCTTCTTGCACACAGGTTTCATCTTGACTGGTTGTCTTTGGGGAACCCACTAGATCATCACGCTGTTAAACCCTGCAATGCGGAGCGACTAGCTAGTATAGACACCATTGAGGTGAGTCGGCTTGCTGATTTATCATCTTCACGCCAGTCACTCGCATTGTGCTGACAATTTAAGCTTGGTTTTGCCTATTTTGTGCGTACTTTGTTCCTTCTTGGCAGGATTTATAGAGAATTCTATTCTGGAATCGAAATTTTTCCTGCTTATTGGCCATCCTTACTTTTCATTTGACCATTCTTCCGACTGTCATGCTTATCCCGTTTCCGCTACGTTCCGCTGTCTTCTAACTCCCCATTCGCATTCGCCTGCATCTTTGCTGAGACACTGTGTGTATCGCCGTGTTTTCCACTTTTGCAAAGACGTTTTAGCGCAGGATGCACTTTAGCATCCGGTTCGTCTTTACTGGGGATATATCATGTGGACTCGAAGCCTTACTGTTAAAAGCGATCCATTTTTCGTTGAGTTGACTAGTTACTTAAATTTGAGGAGTGTCGACCGTCTTCCGATTGGCGTGAGGTGTCTACCTTGTAATACAAAAGTTCGAATATGCCTAAGCGCTGGCAAACTCGCAGTATTTCTAGGTCGCACCTGACCGTTGGTATTTACGTAGCAACAAAACGTCGGTACGGCGTTCCGGCGTACTACTTATACCCGACTGTTATATCTGAATTTGGGTAAGAGTTGACGTTCTGCTATTTTCCTCCTTAACTGGATCATTGTGAAACACGAACGCCATGATTTGACGTTAGGGCAACAATTGTTATTAACTTGCTACTTACTGTCTGCCTTATCCCTTCTGTACGTGCTGTTGGAGTCACATTTTGGACCAAACTGGTGCTCTTTATTGACTCCGGCGGCACCAGATGCCGCCCCAGTGTAATATTTGAGTTTTTATTCTAATCACTGCTTTTCACTAAGCATGCTTCGATACTATGTCTTTCGGTCGACTTACTTTGCATCAGTATTTTGCTTGAACTGGGAACTACCTCAAAGTGACTTGATCGCTGCCATACTAGCGCTGTTAGATAGGCTGGCGCGTAACCCTACTTGTTCTTGATTTGCTTTTCATCCCTCTACAAAGTTGGTCCGACACGAAACTCGTGTTTACTAGCATGGTGTCATAGCTCGAAATGACGGCTTAATTTCCTTATTTCGGTGAATTTTGTTGCTTCCTCGTTGTCGTGGTGCAGTCTCTTTATGAACCGGTTCGACATGTGTCAACGGACTCGCACAAAACCGGCCCAGAAACTGCCGAAAGACTTGGACATTAAAGTTGCATCTTATCAAAGGTTTGGGATTCCGCTGAGAAAGCAATACGATTTTGAACTGTCGCAAATTGGAAATATGGACGAGACGCCCCTGTGCTTTGATACGCCTTCAAACCGCACGATAGAGTAGAATGGCACGAACAGTTTTCGTAAAGACCACGGGGCACGGTTCATAGATTTTTGGGGGTTTGTGGCAGATGGTTTCCAGTTGCCACCTTTCATTATTTTTAATTGTAAGACGCTGCCAAAAGGAGCGAACTTCCCGAGCGGCGTGATTACGCGAGCTCAAACGAAAGAATGGACGGACGAGAGTGGCGCTTTAGACTGGCTTAATACAGTTTGGTCAAAGCCAAGCGGTACTCTCTTAAAGAAACCATCTGTTCTGTTTTGGGATTCCTTTAGGGCACACAACTGGGAATGTGGAGGAACAATGTCGTGCACTGAAGTCGTCTGTGGCTTTAATTCCCGGTGGACTTACATCAATCATGTGGCCACTGGATGTCTCGCAATAAGCCCTTGAAAGATAGGCTTCGGACTAGGTGGATCGAATTTATGGCTTTGTCCAACCTACCAGTGACCAAGGGTAACAAAGGTTGACTTTGTTACAATTGCGGATTGGGTAAAAAAACTGACTAGGCATTCCATCAGAAATTGCCGTACGATCATCAGTAATGCTATGGATGGAAGTGAGGATGATTCCATTTTTGACGAACACGACAGTGACAATGGGGTTGAATTTGATGATATTCACCCTGCTGTCCCAATGACAGACGACCATTTTCGGAAGCGGTTTGGAGAATCTGACTCGAATTCTGGTTTCGAAAGATTCGAGTAATTTTTTCTGCCGTTCAGTGTTTGGGTCTAAGGGCTTATAAGATCTACCGGTAAGTGCATTTCTTTTATGTTATTCCCATGTTGTTGTGCGTGATGGTGTTTGGTTCTGTATATTCCATTGCGGCCATCATTCGTAAACGTCAAATACGCAATATGCTAAGAATTTCCGCCACAACAATCACCTGTCTAGATATAGGCACGCTGCCCGCAGTGCTGCGTAGGTACCGTACGAAAAAAGGAGACACTTCATATTCCCGTCCGGAATACCGTCCGTCATAGCGGGTCGTGCTAGGGGTAGATTGGTGCCGAGGTATGCAGTGAATTCCAGGGTCGATTTCATACCTGACTTTTTTTAAGTTGCGTATAACCAGTTTATACTCTATCCCCCTCTACAGAAATGAAAGCTTGATTAGCGATAACATCATATCGCTGACGCCTCCCATCTTTCTTCTTACCCTGCACTTACCGTCCACGTCACCACTTTACCTAAGCCACGACTTCCTCCAATCCAGGAAAATACCCGTGCGATTGCCCGCCACCGCGATTGTATGCCTCGCACAAAACGCTTAACATCGGGTGTTGCATTTGCGTACATTACTTGATCGGACCTCGATTGAGCTTGCCGAGTGACACATACAACTCGTCGCGATAGAGCTCCCGCGCTAGAGGATCGGTATGTCCGCACTCAGTGAGGCACTGCTCGCTGACGAAGGCAATTTGCTTGAGCTTTGCGCTGGTTACGCGCTCTACCACAGCACCACGCATGTTTTTTGAAGTGGAATTGCCCGCTGACTGGAAGGATACGGTTGTGCTACTACTATACAATGGCAAAGTGAACAAGCAGTGTCATGAATTAGCGTCGCATCAACTTGCTGAGCTGTGTTTGTAAAGTGATCGCTCGAATCCTGTTCAACCGCTTCGTCACTCAGGTCATTGAATCGCACGTGGCGGAAGAGCAATGCGGATTTAGTTCGGGCTGCAGCACCATGGATATGGTGTTCGCGGCTCATCAGTTGCAAGAGAAATACGGAGAAAACGTCAGCCATTATATTCACTGTAGACTTCGCCAAGGCATTTGATACGGTGAACCGCGAGGCACTGTGGCTGGTGTTGAGTAAGATTAGCTGTCCGAGTAAGTTTGTAAGTTTAATTGAGTGTATGCACAGTGGTGTGCAGACGATAATGCAGCTGGTTGGTTCAACATCGTGTGATTTTTCAGTTGTCTCTGGTGTGAAGCAACGCTGTGTCTTAGCTTCTGTTCTGTTTAATGTTTGCGTTCATGCAATGCTATGCTTTTAATGATGCTTGTGATTACGGTATCCATGTGGAGCACGGTATTGACGGTGGGTTGCTGAAAATCCGTCGTTTCGGGCGAGAAATCTAGTGCGCGAGACAACTATCCGTATGTTGCTGTTTGCCGACAGCTGTGCGATGTTTGCACACACTGCGGCTGAGTTGCGACCCACGGCTTTGGGTCTCTCTATGATTCCAGCAAATTTCGGCCTCATTGCTAACAAAAAGAAGGCTGTTTTTTCAGCCTGCACCAGATGAGAAATCCCTATACTTGGCGCAAATCTGCATCGTTGATGACGTTGAAGCCATCTCTCGATTTTGCTACCTTGGGTGTGTATCATCTGCCTATCTACGTATTCATGTGGTATCTCAAGCTTATGTTGATATTGCGTTCATCAGACTTCTTCACCGCAGTTGGGCTACACCGACTTACACGTAAACTAGATCCTTACCTATAAAAAAGGTATTCCAGTTTATTTGATTTGCTTACTTCTGTTATCTTTGTGCATATTCCATGTCAATTTTGCATGTTTTTTCCTTCAAATTCTATGTTGTTTGTTTGACATCCCCGGTGTGGCTGCGCTTGATGGGAACGTTGACATGGTACCTACCTGTCCAACCCAGTCCACCTCGATTACTGGCTCCAGGAGACTGCTAATCTTTTTTGGTGGGACGGGGTGAGAATACCTCGTGATGACTCTATGCCCAAAGAGTGGTTCCATGCATTCAGTATGGAAAGGGCTACGGTCCAGCCACCACCTTGTGCACGTCTGGTACGCATGTCTCCCCAATTGGGCTGACTGGAATGCTGCTGCTGTGGATTTTAAAAGCGTGTGCGCCGGCTCTATTGATGAAACGTGTTCCAATGCACATGCCTCCTCGTCTTATTTCTTCTGGTTTATACTCGATATGGATGTGTGCATGAAACTGTGGGTGATGCCACTGTAGGCGCAGGCGTCCTTTGACTGTTCCATAGAGGCCGCTGTGACATGTAAATCCGGAATCGGATTCCTCCTATCAAATGAGTATCTCTGCTTTGGCGCACATAAACTATTTCCAATCTATCAATTTTTGTTCATCACTTATTGCTTTGATTATTGTTTCGCCTTTTTATGATTGATCGTTCGTTTTTATTCTGGTGGCTACCTCGCTCTGACGTTGGGAATGCAGCTGATTTTTTGCCTGATATTGAGGCTTTGGGGCAAGGATTTGATGGGCCATATTTTCCTGCTGTTGGGAGCAATGTTCCGCTCCCGCTTTACGCATTGTTTTTATAACTCTTCTAATTCTTTCACCCCGCAGCACGATTCTTACCTTCGCTTTCGTGGTAACCGACTAGCCATGCGCGTATTGTGTGGCATACAATCCTCCCGACTGGACTCTGATAGGTTACCTTCATGCTTGTTGTACACCAGCATGCTCAAGTTCACTGACAAGCTCAGGGTGCGTCCAATGACTTGTTCCACCTCTTTGTTACTCTTTCAATGAAATGTTTTTCGAACTACCTGCTGAAGTTATTCAATCATAGCCTTCCATCTGCTTATCTTTCGTTTTTTCTTCGGAATCATGAAGCGTTCACAACCCCACAAAATTAATATGTAGCGTTGCGATGGGGATAACGAACCGCCATGTCCTCTGATTCAAACTCCACGTTTTGAAGCGATTGTGACCTTGTTATGTGTCGGAGAAGCCTCCTCTTTCATCGATTATTGAAGTGCCTGCCTATTTAGGCTTCAGGACGCTAATCAATTGAAGTGCGCCCATTACAGTCGCTCGTATTTGAAGGCTGCATTCACAACCGTGTTAGAGAGCAGACCATCGCAATAACACCGGATCTAAGCGTGGTACGTTGGTTTGCATACCTCCGGAACCCATTGAGCTAAACTGGGTGGCACTTTGCATGTGCCTTCAGAGCCACTCATACCGGACAGCTCAGTGGTTAGAGGTCAGACTAATTAAATCTCTCAGTCCATTCATTTTCGGAGGTTAGAGAGAAGTTTCTAGCCCACTTCCTTTAAAACCATGGGAGACAACAAGTCTTCGGGTTATAAGCTCATAGCTTGATTAGCGTAAAGAACGCCACCCATTGTCTCTGACGGTGAGAGGTCAACTTCCAGTGCTGAATGATCTGCTACCGCCCGTCACAAGCCAGACAGCCCATGGTCAAATCGGTGTAAACCCGCCAACTCTCACTTGCGGCTGGTCGTGGTCGAAGGTGCGTAACGTATTACGGTCGTGAAACACATGTGAATTGTTCCAAATCTTCAAGGGCTTTGTGTGACGGGCCTCGAGTGAATCCCAGCGGATCATTGCAGTCACAGTCCAGAGCTGGACTTGCTCAACTTGTTGAGTGAAAAGCTCCGGATGGAGTCCCTCAAGCGAACCTTCCAATCCCCTACTGCATTGTGGGTCAGACTGTTGAGTGAAAGGCTAGAGGTAGGGCCCCTCGAACCAAACCTCTCTCTCGGCATGGGCAGCGGAAGAGGATCATGTGCCCTCTCGACCACGTCGACAATACTCCCTCTGTTTCTTCTTGTTCCCCCTCTCTTCTTCCCCACCTATTGAGTAGGAATCTGCCGCTAACCTCGCTGCTACTGCCATCGATACTCGTAACTCGCCAATCAAACCACGAGTCTCATTTCACATTGGTTCTTTTAACGTCCGCAATGTACGTCAGTTTGGTCAGCAGGCAGCACTGACTCTCGCTCTTCACTCTTCTGGTATTGATGTCTGCTGTGTCCCCGAAACACTCATACAAGATAACAGCATTGTGACGAATCTTCGACTCCCTGTTTCCTAATCAGACGACGATAACTACACTCTTGGCGTCTCTAGTGATACTGAGTAACTATCAAGTTACTTATGGTGTTGGTGTCGCTCTCAGCAAACATGCTGAAGACAGTCTTATCGACTGGATACTGGTGAACAGCCGCATGTGGGCGCTTAGATTTCGAACATCTATTGGGGTTAATAAGATCCTAGCGTCAGTCGTGTAGGTAAATTCCGTTCACCGTTTTCTACCGGCGTTTAGCTCACCGAGCTTGCCGGTACAGACACACGATGTCAGTTGACAATGTTATATGCATGGGACCACAGTTACGAGTAATGTTAGTGTAGGTTAACACACAACCTTCTGTTTTGTTCAGTGGGCCCTTGGATTTCGATCGACCGAGCTTCAGCTTGTTGTCAAGTTGAGCGTGTTAGAATTCACGCTGGTTTGCCGAGTGTTAAAAGGGTTGTTGCTAACTGAGCTGTAGCTATCAAACGGGGTGTCAGATTCTTGTTATATGAAAATCGTTGGATGGCGCAAAGAGCACCCTCTCGTTTGAGGATAAAAAGAATCTTGTGCACTCGAAAAATATGATTGATATGCGCGTATATTTCAGTGAAAACCGTGGAATTGGAGTAACGGATGCAACGATGGTACGTGCTAGATAATCATGTAATGGTAAATCCACTGGATAGCGCGGGTAACTCCGAGTTTTTAAAAAGTCTGTAAGCACGGTAATGTGCATCCAGAATTGTAGGTAGTGAATTCAAAAGATAGAGGTCATGTGAGAGCATCACTATGAATAGTTGGCGAATGGACTTGTGGTATTCTTTTTCCGACTTGATGAGCAGTTATCCGTTCAAAACGCGGTTATTATGTTCAGGACATCATAGTCTCTGATTAACGCTTTCGATTTGGTTATTGCTGGCGCCTGACCATATTATGAACACTCATGTCTGCGGGCGACATGAGCGCACAGAAACCTTTGTTTCGTTTATCTTCCTATCCCTGTTTGTGTAGACCCTGGTCCATAGGCAAGCCGAAAAACCAGCAGAACACTTCGGGCTACTTCATGTTACCTTAAAATTTGTGCTCGTATTTTTGTATTTACTTATGCAATATCGAAAAATCATTGTAACAGTTTTTGCTGTTTCTCTGGTAACAGCTTACCGCACCTTCAGTAATAGTAGATTTATTTATTTTATCTGTTTATTCATACTGCCATAACTACGGAATTGCGTCTTCATTGTGATTGATGCTGATACGCACTTGCGTAATTTTTCTTACTGGTTGTTTTTCTATGTTGTGCTCTTTGTAACATTATGTTTGAAATATCTACTTTTGGTATCACAGTTCTTCTCTATGCCGATTTGTATGGATGTGCGAATGCTCACTGCTTCTGGTATGACGTTAGCACTACCTCCAGTTAACCTTTTCATGCGTTCTCATTGTTCTCAGATGTCACTCTCTAAGGTGGCTCGCCCAATCCGACGAGGGCCTGTGTTTGCCTCCAAACCTTCACGCAAACCCTTGTTTGGGCGCTTGTTGCAGTGAGTTTCTCATTATGTTTCCCGTTTGTTTTGTCCTACTCGCTCCAATGGCCTACTACTTCGTTTATCGAGTCTTCTCGCTTGTTGGTGTAGTCTTCTTCTAACAAGATCAACAGTCTCTGAAGTATGTTATGTGAGTTTCAGACCTGTCTGTGGAACATAATGCCTTTAATAACTTAGGAAACGTCGCCACATTGGCCATTGTCATCAATCATAAACGAACACAATGGTTACGATAACAGATTTCACATCTTCCCAAGTAACCACTAAATCTTCGTTTTTATCTGAGTTGATCAGTTACTCACACTCATTTTCTGCTTGTTCACTGCTCCGTGCGTTTATCGTGTTTTTCCTGTTTGTGAGAAGCTGGAAAAATGTTGTGTCGTAACCATGTCATGCAGTACGGGTACATGAGCAAAATATTCCGTTAACACATTACTAACCCTCCCCCACTTTGTACGTAACATGGCCGAGTTATCTAGTATATGTCAGACTTGGTCGATTTGAAATTCACATTTCAGTGGTCCTGCGTCACATACACGTCTGACGGTATTTTCTTCATTCCCTTTCACCTAACTTTATGGTTAGCGCCTTTTGCCAATTTAATTAGCTGTCTGTTACCGGCAATCTCATGACAACGAGCCTTTGGCTGCTTACTCATACTGTGTAACCAAATATCTGGGAGTGGGTTACTAATTCAAAAGAGAGAGACGGCCCTCTATATTTGAAAAAGAGTGGGAGATAATTCGTCGGGAGCGGGATATATGTGACGCTTCAGATGCCCAAGCTTGTAGTAAGCCTCAGCTTCCGATAGCCAAAAGTTGCTTACCCACCATGGAACCCCGTAGATATATGCTTCGAAACTCGAGGGCACTGGTGGTCATTTGCATTGCTGTTCGAAGTTTATTGTCCCGCGTACAAGCCGGTATTGGCAATTGTGAATGGACTCACCGCTGGTCTCACATAGTACTTCGCTTACAGTTAGTTAAGAGAGAAATGTATGCGAACTTCCCTGTGGAGGGAACTTCTTCCGTCTCGGTGATAGGCTGCGTCCAGTAACCTCCGCAATCTTACTTGATATAGTGTTTCATCTCGGCGTTGTTAACGCTATGTAGAGTTTACCCAGCACCAACGGGAATAGTCCGGCGGTCATCCACAAGTCTAAAGGTTCGAGTGGAAATTCACCGGTTGATCATGTGTCCAGTGAAAACGGAGACGACGTTAGAAGACTTGCTCTCGGCATTCCGGATGTGTCTAGTACGCTTCAACATCTGGAAGTGGAGGATCCTTGAAATTGGAAGCTAGCGAATTCTGTAATGCACCGAGAATATTTGGTTCGATAAGCTTGGCTACGTCAAGTCGTTTCCGACGATGCTATTGGGTGCCACCAAAATGCAGGCCAATTCATAAGTGAGCTAATTACTCCGATGTGGTTCGCAACTGTTATTCAGCATCGCCAACGGTAATTGCTGGTGATTTAGTCAATCTGCAGTCAAGAATGTGCAGCAAAGTGGCTTCTAGTTGACGCGCTGGCGTTAGGAGCGCCGAAAGTTAGCATTCCAGGGAAATAAACAGTAGTCACACAAAGCGTTGAAAGGTTGTCCTTTGAACACCATGGCCATCCTCATACCCGAGTTCACTTTCACCAGTTTTGGGTCTACCGACGTGCACTTTTGACTACCCAGCAAGCATCACGATATCCTTTGTGAGATTTTTTCGGAGCAAGTTGGCGAGCCGACAGGAGAATTCTTCTTAAGCTTCAATCCAGGGGAGCGTGCCACTACAATCACACTGCATTTACTTGCCTCGCGGCTGGACAATCGTTTGGAGATTTATAGCCGAATCGCGCAGTGTTTGCTATTAGTTGGAATCCTTACAAATTGCGTTACTTCTGCGCGCGCATTAAACGCCTTTTCTACACTGACCTGACCCGTGGATTTCCTCAGTCGCGTTTCCCTCTAAGTTTAGCTTAGATGTGACGTGTTGGCGATCCGAGGATTACCTATATTCATGTCCATATATGTTGTGTGGGCATAGAGCTTTTCGGTGACCCGGGTGAGAAAGAGAGATGACTTAGGGAACCCCACTCTTTCGTAAGGATCTTGCCCCACGAAACTGAGGCAGTTGTCGTATATCGCGAACCGTCGGGGACCGGTAACACGACTTTCGAGTAGCAACAAACTACTCAGCGCGCCTGGTCGGCCCGAGTACAATACCATAAGGGTCAGGTAAGGTTTCTCGGAACGTCCAACTCGCTGCTGAATACGAAAACTACCGACAGCCAGGTAGCTCATACGTTTTCTTAATGTTCGATGAAAGTCCACATTGACGCAGGTGAACATCGAGTTTGTTCATCCACCCTCCAGTAGGTACTCAGTTCTGTTTACAAAGTAAGGGGTCAATGGCCATGTAGCCGGTCAGTAACTTTCTCACAGTGCTTCACCATTTCTTGTGTCATTTAATAGGGAACCAGGTGACCAACCTAGAACTCCTTACGTTTCGAGACGCTGCCGCTGATTGTCCGCAACTACTTATTATTTTTACCTGTAAATCTAACGAAACTTACTATTGTCTTCACTAGCAAGGCACTCCGGATCCATAACTTGGCGAAGCGCGTGCCAGCGTCAACGGCCCCATAAGATGCTCTCTATGTAGTCATCCCACTCGTATCTGTCTTGTATCTTTTCTCCTCTACCCCAATTCGTCATCGTATCAGCGCTGCTGTGATAGCACTTTCATCTTTTTTGTGCTTCACACCATACCAGCCTACGGGACTCGAGCATACCTTATTCAGTGTACTTTGCTCAGTGTACCTGGTACCCGCCGACTTGTAACTCAGTGCCTGCTAGCCGTGGAACAGGCACTACGTTCATATTATCAGCTGGATTGCAACCTTAGTGCACCGGTTGATAGATCGCTCATCGTAATCTCATAAATCCGGGAAGTGTCGTGTGCTGCGGTCCTCGCAACACTGAATATGTCTATGTTCACCGGTGCACATGAGAGTTAGCGGTTTGATCGAAGTAAACCATAACCCCAGCGCTTCAATGCGCCAACTGTATGTTGACCATTGCCCCGCGCATGCCGTGTCCACAGCACACTACAGCTTATGAACATCGACTGACCCAGTTTCTTTTTAGCCCGCAGTTAGTGACCTCAGACACAAACTGGTACACACCCATCACCCTGTAATGTAATCCTTCACTACCCATGTGACAGGTCGCACGCGAGCTACTCCGGACCAAAGTGAATTACTTACACATCTGTGCCCCATACATTCGTTCACGTTGCTTTGTCCATGCATCCGTTATCCTATTGGTTGTCGGCGCTTGCCGATTGAAACAGCCGCACCCTGGGGCACCCATCTAATTGCCACCCGAATTGATTTGTATGATGAACAGACCAACCTGGTTAGATAGCAGAGGGATTTGATTTCCGCACAGCTCAAATCTTTACCTGTATGGACCAACTCGACTCGGAAGTGGTATAGCTTTATCAGCCAGGTCTGTGTTCAGACCAGCATCGACCGTGTGCGTCTCTGTCTACCGATTACCCACTCATGAGTGTTTGGTTTCAGTTACTAGATCGATGCTCTGCACTCCTTCTGGCCAGAATACACATTTGCATGCTGCCAGCTAGACGGGATCTGTTATCTTTGCGTCGTTCGGCTAAGAGGCATTATTGCGTTCACAGTCTATCGTTACGTCCGTATGTGTAAACTTTAAACTTCGTGATGGCTTCCATGTCTGGAATTATTCGTTATGAGTCAATTTATACTACCGGATCCGTTTTGTATAGAAGCGGCTTCCAAGCCCTCACCTGGACCACGCCGATTGTCCCAGTACAAAAACCCGATGACGCCGTCCGTATCTGTGGTGACTACAAGTTGACTGTTAACCAAGCAGCGACCTCAGAACACTATCCTATTCCGCGGATTGATGACTTATACACAACTCTGTCAGGTGGACAGAAGTTTTCCAAACTTGATTTAAGCCACGCTTACTCCCAAGTAGAGCTGTGCGAATCCGCCAGGGAGATAACAACCGTCAATATACACCTGGGTTTGTTTCAATACAACAGACTTCCATTCGGGATAAATTCTGCACCGACATTTCAGATGATTATTGACAATTTAGTGCAAGGAATACCCTGTGTATGCGCTTGTCTAGAAGACATTCCTATTTCTCGCAGACTTGATTGCGAACACATTGCATCGCTTTCGACGGTCTTCAAACGTCTCTAAGACAGTGGACTCAAGCTGAAAGAATCCAAATGTGTATTGTTCGCAGACTTTGTCTAGTACCTTGAATTTCGTTTGTATAAACATGGTTTGCTCCCGATACGGCAATAACTCTATCCTTAATTTTCCGAGACCATGCAACGTCAGTGAGATGCAATCTTTCCTAGGTATGGTAACACACTATAGTCGTTTCCTACCTGGTTTGTCAACCACCCTCGCACCTCTGCACGTTTTAGTACGAAAAAGTACCAAGCGAAAGTTTTCAGTTAAAGAATGAAAGTCTTTCGATACTGTCAAGACATGATCATCATCATACACGTTAGCTAGAGGTGGGGAACGCCTCAGCTACTGTGCCGCAATACATAGAAAAAAGTAGAAAAAATGCACCTGGCGCAAGCCGACTGAGCTGCCGGTAACGGATGGGCATCGTTCCGGTAAGCTACCAGCCAGCTACTGTGCATCAAAAGAAAATTACTATGCAAAATTATATAAGGCTAAATAATGAGATCGTGTTGGAGGGGGAGGCTAATAGGGATGGGGTGGGACAAAGAAACTCACAGCACGAACGCCACTGAGGTCGGCTCCTAGCCATATCAGCAAGTGTGTCCAACCAAACGTGTTCATCGTCTTTCGGACCCCAACAAGGAAGCCGAGACGCTCCAACCGAGGCCAGCTTCGAAGTGAGGGCCTCCATTCCTCTCGTCCAAGTTTTCGCTTGGCCACCCCTCCTCTTCTTCCATCTATGGCTGTCAAGGCAGCC